ACACAACTCTTCATTTTGGTCTGAGTTTTCCCATCATCAATTATTTTAGCCTTGAAAATTTCTGTAAGACAAAATGACCAAAATAATTAAGAATAGGCAAACTCATGAACTACTTATATTTCAAATTTCAAAAGTTAAAGAAGAGTTATGTATTTTGGATAAATGCCTAGCTAAAAAACTTCAAAGTTCGGGAATAAAAACTTCGAACTTTAACACAAGTGGTGGACTGGTGGGAGTTTTAAATTTAATCACCAAAGTTTCTTAATCTTAACTTTGCAAGAAGGGCAAAGAATCATTTTCCCCTACACACCCATTTCACTGAGTAACCCAGAAAAGCTACAGCAGCAGAGTTCACCATGTCTCTCTCCACGAGGCTGAGACGCCCTCAACAGTCCGATGATCCTTCATCATCATCATCGCCGCCGCCGTCGTCATTTTACTCGAAAGTCGACAAGCAAGGGAGCCTCTCCAACTATTGGGAGCCTCTCCATTTCCTTCTCTACAAATCTGGTTTCCAAACTTGGGAATACAGGTACCCTTTTCAATTCTCTTTCTTTTTCCTCTCTGAAAAATTGAAACTTTGTTCTGTTTTTAGGTGTTTTGTTTCTGGGTTTTGATTGTTTGTTATTTTCCGGGTTGTTTTTATTTTGCTTGTTATGAAATTATTTGTCTTTTTGGTTATTTGAAGTTTATTTGGTATTAAAGATGTTAATATAATGCTATTTTTTGTTGTAATTTGAGAACTATTAAGCTCTGGATTCAATTTATTGGGGAATTTGGTTGTCGTCGAAAAGCTTACTGCTTGTTAACGTACACGATTTTGTAGAGCATTGCAGCTCATGAACTAATTGCAGTCTTCATATGAACCGATGTGATTTACTTCATTACGGTAGTTTTATAACTAGTAAGTGAATCTTCAGCGTAATGCCTTTTGGTTTATCGAATTTGATTTTTACAAACTGACGTTAGAATGGAGCTAATGCTGTGGATTTATGTGTTTAGATTAGCATTTTGTAGTTGGAGTTAAATGCTTACCATTGGTAGCATAGTATCTTTTTTACTCGGTGATTGTATCCTTTGCTGTGTGCTCTTAAAATATTGTCTGGATCATGGCTATTGTAAATGCGATAATGACTGCTATCGTTTTCTATTTTAGGAATCCTACCTATGAATTTTATTGTTATATGCCTCTTGCAGTTCACAGTTTGCACTTCGCTCCTATTTGTACATTCTTTTCCATGAATTGGTGGGTCGACCTGCTTCCTGGTTGTTTGCTGAGGAAAAAGTACGATTGGTTTTTTCCCCTTGCCTTTTGAACTTTCTGTTTTATTTTAGCAGAAATTGATTTCTTGCCTTTAGTGTTATGGAGATGTGCTGAACCAGTTCTTTTTGCTTGCAGTTGAGAGTATTCTATGCTGTTAGAATCTTTCTTGCTCTCCTTTCTGTTATCACTGACACTGTTCTGGTAGTTGCTCTTTCAAGAAAGTATGGAAAACGTCTTGCTTCTTACACACTTGTAATGCTATGCTTAACCAGCGGTTGTTTTTTTGCTAGCACAAGCGAGTCGGCCTTAGCTCTCTTGCTTTTCTGGAGCTAATTATTCCACGAATGAGTGTTGATGACATTATTTTCCAGGTTTCTTGCCAAGCTCATTCTCTATGTATGCCATGTCTCTTTCATCCGGGTTATTTCTACTTGATAAATACACCATGTCAGTTACAATCGCAGCTGTAGGCGTAATCCTTGGCTGGCCATTCTCAATCTTAGCTTTCTTACCAGTCACATTCTACTCTCTAGCTAGAAGATTCAAACAAGCTTTTCTTGCCGGGGCCGCTATCTCTGTTGCTCTTCTTGTAAGTCATTATTGGTATTTTGTTTTGGTGGATGTACAAAGTATAGCCTATACCTGCGTAATTGGCACAAATAGAGTTATATATTTCACTTTAAGTTATTTCTTTCTTATTTTTTTTATCATGCTTATGCTTATACATGGGAGGTCTTTTCAGGTCTCGTCGGTTCTCGTTGATCATTACTACTACAGCGGATGGACATCCTCTCTGTTAAATCTGTTGATCTATAATGTTGCAGGAGGCGGTGAGAGCCATTTGTATGGAACTGAGGGGCCGCTATATTATCTGAGGAATGGATTTAACAATTCTAACTTTTGTTTTGTACTTGCATTGCTGTTTTTGGCAATGGTGCCGATTGCAAGGAAAAAGTATGCCCCCAACTTGCTGATTGTTGTCTCACCAGTTTATATTTGGTTGGCATTCATGTCTTTGCAGCCACACAAAGAAGAAAGGTTCGAATAATGTTACCTTTTATGATATCAGGAAACTTGTTATGTACTGTTCTATTATTGATTGAATTTGAGTATGTTCCTGCTAGTTGTATTTGCTTATCTCCGACGAAATCTACCACTTCCTAAATTTGCACAATTGTGCATTTGCAATAAAAAAATTTGAAATGCTGTTGATAGCTCAGTGCCTTGATATTTCCTTTATACTTTCTCCTCTATCCTACTTAAACAAAATCTGAGCTTCTTCTGATTACTAATATTTCCATATTTCTCACCATAATCATACACAACACGAACCTTGCATTGTCCTGCAACAAATTTTTTTTTTGGGTTATGTTTTTTCCTCATAATCATCAATGTCCAGTTTGTGTATTTCTGAGTGGCCAAGGGTCCGTTTGTAGTCTCAGATCGGAATGTTTTTATTTAGTGAGTCACTTTGGTATTTGGTGAGGTCACAGAATTAGATGCAATTGATAACTAGATATTTCCATTTATCATTGCAGGTTCCTTTATCCAATATATCCACTAATTTGTGTTGCTGCTTCGGCTGTCATTGAGAGCTTTCCTGATGTTTTCCGATTCGATTATGATTCCCAAGGAAATTCTCCGACGGTTATGGTGAGCTTATCCTATTTTTTATAAATTTTTCTGTTAATTATCTTTCTGAACCTCGCACGGTCACACTATTGTTTATTTGTACACGCAGACAGCAAAGATTCTTAGACCGGTGGTTCTTAGCCTTATATTATGTGCCTCCCATGCTCGTACGTTTTCAGTGATCAATGGTTATTCTGCGCCTATAGAGGTTTACAAGCTTTTAGAGGATCATGACGATGTAGGAACAGGTGAGACCAGTATCTTGCTGTTATGTTCTCTTAACTGATCTGAACCTTCTACAACTGTGTAGCTTAATAATGATAAGTAGCCAGCTTTTTCTTTTAGTGTTCATACACTTAATTTTTTTTTCCGAACGTGTTTTTCTTGTTGAGGTCTCAAATTGCATAAGGAGCTTACTGGGTTCTCTAGTTGATATTCAGGTCTGCAATTTTAGGAATCCATGTCTTTCTGAAAATTCTGGGCTTCCTTCTGAATTTCAGGTTCTATACTCTGCGTTGGAAATGAATGGCACCGTTTCCCATCATCGTTTTTTGTTCCTGATTATGTGGGAGAGGTTCGTTGGATTGATGATGGGTTCCGAGGACTTCTTCCCTTCCCCTTCAATTCTACCTTGGGTGGAACTGCAGCAGCGCCACCATATCTTAACAGTAAGAACAAAGCGTCTGACTTGCAATATGTAATCAATTACCATTCTCTAAACTAGTTTGCATAAAACTGAAATTGCTTTCATTGTAAATGACCAATCAATTTTATTACAGCTCCGGGATCTTGATCAATGTACATTCCTTGTTGAGCTGCAGCTTAGTCGGCCTTTCCCTTCTCGGGGAAGTGACTTATCAACTTGGGAGGTAAAATTGAGTCTGCATTTATACTCAGTTTCCTAAATGAATTGCTATATGCTGAATTAGTTTTCTTCTAAACTCAGGTGATTGGAGCGTTGCCTTACTTAGACAGAGAGCTCTCGCCTGCCAAGTACCGGTCCTTTTTCATCCCGTATCTGTGGCAGCACAAGAATATTTTTGGCATGTACAAGCTGCATAGAAGGGTACCGAAATGAAGGCAGATGGTACCGAAATGAAGGGAGATGGTTTAATGGATCACACCTTGGTTCTGACAGTGTTAGATTCTGAACCAGCATGACTTGTCTAAAGTGCTAACCCGCCTTCTCTTCGGAGGGAAAAAGAAAGAAAAGTAAAAGGAAGAACCCCTTTTTTGACGTAGTTTTAACTGTTTTGGTTGGTGTGACTTCCTCAAAGTTCTTACAGAAAAATGAGTGGTCGAGTTCAATGGTGCCTTGGATTGCGTGTATTTCTAACCGTTTGATGTGCATAAGCACCAAACTGAGAATTTGTAATTGATGGAAGACTACACTTCTCTCTCTTTTTTTTGCCCCATTCGGTATTTCTTTTTTTTTCATAAAACAACTGCTTCATTTTAAAGTTAAGCAATTATAAATTTTGGTAAAAATAAAATATCATGCTTATTTATAAAGTAATAGCTTTCATTAGCTTTTAAAAATAGTATGTAAGTCGCTTTTAAATCTGCTTTTTATAAAAAGTAGTTGAGCATTTAATGAATGTTTTTAATTCATGTTATACGTCTCATTAATTTTAAAAAATGACATCATCTATCCTCGTACATACATTTTACTCCAAAAGAACCAAGTGATCACCTATAACTACAATCACTAACCTTACATCATCGCCGTCATTCCCACCATAATCCTTGCCATCACCATCGTCGTCACAACCATCGTCATCACCACCACCACCACCACTATCACCGTTGCTGCCACTACGACCAAAACCACAACTGTCACCACTAGCACCATAATCACAACTACCATTACAACAACCATCATTGTTACTGCCACCACCACAATTGCCACCGCTGCCACCACAACCACCAATGTTGCTGCCACCACCTCTACCACCATTGTAACCTCTACAACCCAACCACCACAACCCACCATTGGCACCACCACCATACCCCTTACAATTGTTGCTGTTATCACTACCACTATTGCCCAGTCCCACCGACACCGCCATCGCCACCTATTATCTTCGCCACCACCTACGACTGCAACCACCAACATAACACCCATGCCGCCATCACCACCACAATCATTGCCACTGCCGCTACCACCACTGCTACGCTTACACCCTAACCACCACCACACCCCCACCATTGTCGCTGTCATTACCGCCACTACCCTCGACACCGCTGTCGTTACCACCTCCCCATTACTATTTCTAATTTTTGTCATTCCATACAATTATATAACTTTTTACATTAAATTTATCAAACGCTTTGCTTTCCAACTCACATCACACTTTTAAAAATACAGTTTATTAAATGCCCAATTGCTTTATTTTACAACTAATTATTTCTAAAGCACTGTTTATGTATATATATATATATATATATATATTTATGTGTGTGTGTGTGTGCAGGAAGCCTTTAAGGGAAGGGATCCCCTTTTTTTTTTTTTAAAGGGAACATCATCTTAACCGTTAGATTTGGCTTTAATGAAATCCTGTGGTTGAGATTCTGTGGCCTGTGATTTAATCTCAGCCAGAGAATTTCATTAAAGTCAAATCTAATGGTCAAGAGGGTGTCCCAATTTTTTTTTAAAAAAGGGGATCCCTTCCCTTAGATCACCTCCAATGGTGAGCTAAATGTTAAATTATCCTCCAAATTTTCCCTCCAAACCATCTCCAACCCATGCTAAAACATTGGGCTAAATGCCAAATGTTAAAGCTGGGCCAAATACCCCCCAGATTCCCCCCCACGCGAGTGGACTCGCTGGCCTTTGGGCCAGTCTCGGCCCGTTCATGCTCCAACACACCCCATGCGAAGCGCCTGTATTTCGTTCTCGACAGGGGTGGGCCCCGCTGACAGGGGTTTGTCGGCCACCCAACAGCTACATTTTCAATCTGACAGCTGATTTTCACGGACCATTGGTTGATCCAATGGTCCAGATTCAAATTTGATTTTTTAAAATATGTTATTCTAAAATACATTGAATCCAACAGCTGAGATCGAATATAATCAAATCTAACGGTAAAAAAAAAAAAATCTAACGGCCCAAATTTAAATCCAATTGCTAAAATAATTTTAGAAAATTATTTAACTTAAAATTCATCCAAAAAATCTATAAATACCTATGTATTTGTTCAAACATCCACACAAAACTCAAATTTCTCTTACAATTCTTCCAATTTATCTTTCTACCATTTGTTTCCATTTCCAAATTGTTCAACATGGCAAGAGAGCATAATAGAGGTTGTAATTGGACCTGTGAGGAAGATATTACTCTATGTTTGGCATGAGTTTCTATTAGCGAAGATGGTGCAGTTGGCACAAATCAAAATAAGAAGGTTTTGTGGGATAAAATCATTGCAAAGATTTGGTGATCAACAAATATTGAACATATGTTTATATAGAGGATGATTGATGAAAGTTAAACGGTTGGTGAAAGTTGAAAGTTTGGTGTTGAACGGTTGGTGAAATGAAAATTTGGTGAATTGAAAACATATTAATCCCAGACATTCCCCTATCAGTCTTTACGACTTCTCTTGCACGCCAAAGAGAAAATATCTCTCACCCGCCGAGTACGATACGGTAGGCGTATGCAAGTTACTTGGAAACTTCAAAATGATTATTTTAGGTGAATGTATGAAATTTCTTCATGATCCTTTCTGAAGAGTCAAGTTCAAAAGTCGACGAAAGACCACCACCTCTAATGGAAAGTCTTTGTAATAACTTTCTCCCTCGACCTCTATATATTCATTTTACACTTTCATTAGTTTTCACCACCTTCACAAGTTTTCCTTTCTATCCTCAAAGTTGTAGTTCATATCCTTCATATTTCTAAATATACACAAACACTTTGTCCTTACAAGATGTCTGAGACAAAGGCTCTTTTGCCTGCAATAGCCACTTTTGCAGCTTCAGCAATGCTTCTTAGAAGCATTGCCAACGACTTCATCCCTAACGAATTTCGAAACTTCTTCTTCTCCGGCCTCCACAGCATTTCGCGCCGTTTCTCTTCCCACATCACCATTGTCATAGAGGAGTTCCAAGGGATGTCCTTGAATGAAGTTTTTGACGCTGTTGAAGCCTATTTGGGGACGATAGAGATCGCTTCTCTTCAAAGAATCAAAGTGAGCAAGGTTACAAAGGAGAAGAAGCTAGCAGTCGCAGTGGATCGAGGGGAAGAAATAGTTGATGTTTTCGAAGACCGTGTTCAAGTAATGTGGAAATATGTTTGTACAAAGGTTGAATCTTCGCGTTCTTGCAATCCCGGCGATCTTAATGCATCCCTAAGATCAGAAATAAGATCGTACGAGCTAACATTCCACAAGAAACACAAGGAGACCGTGTTGAATTCTTACCTGCCATACATTTTAGAGAGATCAAAGGCGATCAAAGGAGAACGAAAGGTAGTAAAGCTCTGCACAAACGACCAGTATGACTGTTATGCGACACAAGAGGTCACTCTAAATCACCCCATGACCTTCGATATCCTTGCAATGGATGCGGAGCTTAAGAAAGCTTTGTTGGATGATTTGAACAACTTCAAAAACGGCAAGGAATTTTACAGAAGGATAGGAAAAGCTTGGAAACGTGGATACTTGTTGTATGGCCCTCCTGGCACAGGCAAGTCCAGCTTGATTGCAGCCATTGCTAACCACCTTAACTACGACATCTACGAGTTGGAGCTAACCGATGCTGGTTCCAATTCTGATTTGAAGAGAAGGTTGCTAGCCATGCCTGACAAATCTATTATCGTAATCGAAGACATTGATTGCACAATCAAGCTGCAAAATCGGGAATCTGAGGATGAATCGTGTAATACCAACAGAAATCAGGTCAGTTTTATAGTCACTTAAAGTTTTGATAAATCATACAAGTCAAATGCTTTGTTTCGGTACAAGTTGTAGATCAGGTTGATTTTTTCCTGAAAGGGTTGTCCGGACTCAATAGGATGACAACAAAAAACAGTGTCCGTTAACATATAAGTCCAGCAAGAAAACATTTCCGCTTGTAGAAATATCCGTGATCTTATTACTTATCATTTCATCAACAGGTGACACTCTCCGGACTCCTCAACCTCATTGATGGTCTTTGGTCATGTTGTACTGATGAACGCATTATAATTTTCACAACAAATCATAAAGACAAACTAGATCCTGCTCTAGTGAGACCCGGCCGAATGGACATGCACATTCACATGTCGTATTGCACCATTTCTGCATTCAAGCAGCTGGCATTCAATTACCATGGAGTTCGCAACGACCAACTCTTCGAGCAGATCGAAGGACTTATATTGGAGGTTGAAGTCACCCCAGCAGAAGTCGCAGGAGAACTAATGAGGAGCAGAGATGCTCAAATTTCGTTCCAACGCCTCATCGATTTCTTGCTGGAGAAGAAAACTCAACAAGATCACAAGGCTAAAACTAATGAGACCGGTACGAAAGAAGAGCACAACATGGAAGAGGAGCAGACTAGTTGAATTTAATGTAACCACTGTTTGAAGGGCAAGAGACCCTTAGTTTAGTCTTAAAAAAATTCCATGTACCCATCGAAGTCTTACAATTTCACTAATGAGTACTATATATATTCATTCTATGATATGGTCCAATCAACATACGACACATGATTCTAATTTTTTTAAAGTTCAAGAAAAATTAAATATATCTATTATTTTTTTAAACAATAGAAGTGAGCATACAGAATACTCACTAGTGGGCCATTTATTTGACACGTGTCAGTTACTTAGACATTTTTGTTAAATTTTATTATTATGAATAAAATTATCCAAAATAAATGAGAGTATTAGACAAACTTGGAAATTTGGCAAGTTTTGTGGGTTCGGAATGTTATGCGAGCGGCTAGAATTTCTGTTAGCATGAAAGACGCGTGTAAAATGAATAAATAGGAGACATGAAGTATTCTATACATCCCATTCCCAGTAGGAAAAAGAAACCCTTCCCAGTTCGGAAAGGAAAAAATGAAATTACCAGTTACGAAAACTTATAAATACAAACTTGTTATCAATTGAGTACCTCCATATTTTCCACTGTTAATTTCTTCCCTCTCTGTTTCTCTCTGTCTCGATCTCTCCACTAATTTTCTAAGATGCTGATTGCTCAGAAGCCTAGTAGGGTTGAAGACCCCAGCTTCATCTTCCCGGAGAAGCAAACTATCGGCGTGGCGGACGGCGTCTGTTGTGCCAAGACAGACGTCGACGCCGGTGACTATGCAGGGGAACAGATGATGCTGACGGAAGCGACTTTGAGTTTATTCATGTTGAAGTACGTAAACCACAATGGTATCATCAACCACAACAATAGCTATGGTCAAGAAACAAAGAGAAACCTGCACGAGATGGTTTGTGGGTCGGTGTATCTTGCCAAAGATAACAAGTTAGGCGAAGACGCTCACTTCATCTGCCCGGAGAAGCAGACTATCGGCGTGGCGGATGGCGTTGGCGGTTGGGCCAACAAAGGTATCGACGCGGGTGAGTACTCGAGGAAACTCATGAACAATGCCTTTATCGCCGTCCATAATCCGAATAACATCAACGAACAGAAAGGAAAACGAAAGGCCGCGGATATGATCGGAGCCGTTGATCCAAGAAAAGTGCTGCAGGAGGCTTATGCAAAGACCAAGGAGAAAGGCTCGTCGACCGCTTGCATCCTCAGCCTTAACAAAGAGAGCGGAGTCTTGCATGCAGTGAACGTTGGGGACAGTGGGTTCTTGCTATTTAGGAACCACAAGGTTGTGTACCAATCTCCAACTCAGCAACGCAGGTTCAACTGTCCCTATCAGTTGGGGAACAGCATCAGCAGCGACCGCCCTGATTGCGCTTGGGAGGAGTGGATTCAGACAGTCCCCGGAGACCTCCTAGTGCTTGGGACTGATGGCTTGCTGGACAACATGTTTCCAAGTGAGATTGAGAAGGTTCTTGTACAAGGTGGTGGTGGTGGTGATCTTGATCTTGATTGTGGCGCGTTGGCTTCGAGCATCGCCAATCTAGCTCTCTATAACTCGTTCGATAAGTACAACCCTAGCCCTTTTTCAGAAAACGCTAGAAAGGCTGGATTTGAGCACAATGGAGGCAAGATCGACGACATTACTGTTATTGTTGCTCAAGTTTGTGGCTTTATAGTAGACTAGCTAATAGTAATCATATGTAATTAAACCTAGTTCCACGTATGAATGAAAATTTGTTTCTTCTATTAATCAAGATATATAATTTTCTTTGTTTTGTTTCTTTATACAAGCCAAGATGTATTATGTTCTTGTGTGTTTGGAATTGGTGGTTTTACTTCTATTTTAATGCAATTAAAATTTTTTTTATTCGAAGTTTTTAGCTTTAATAATAATAAGCATTTTAATATGGGAATAATTTGGTCAATTTTATAGTTATATACAAGTCAAGTGCTTTGTTTTGGTACAAACTACAAAGCAAAGCATTTGTTTTACACTAATTTACGGTAAGAGAAAATTTAAACCCAAAATGCAGTAGATTGTAGAAGAAAATCCTAATCATCAGAACAATTCATCACACTTCATGAAAACTTAGAGAACGTAGTTTAGGAATGCTTCTTTTCTTCTGTCCAGGAAACAACCTAAGAGAGAAAATTAGGAAACCACTTTTCATTAAACCTAACTAAATGCCTGAACCGAAGGCTTTTTTGCCTGCAATAGCCACTCTTGCTGCTTCAGCATATGCTTTGTCAAAGTATTTCCAACGACTTCATCCCCGACGAACTTGGGAACTAATTCTTTTAAGGCCTCCATAACATTTTGCAATGTTTCTCTTCTCAACTCACCGTTGTCATAGATGAATTTCAAGGACTATTTGGGTGCTCTAACGACCCCGTCTGTTAGAAGAATCAAAGTGAGCAAGAATACCAAGAGAAGAAACTAGCAGTGACAGTGGATAGAGGTTAAGAGATAGCTGATGCATATGAAAATCTTCAAGTGAAATGGAAGTCGATTTGTGTACGGGTTAAATCGCCATTAGTTAGACATTGGAGTTACCTTAATACATCGTTACCACAAGAAGCAAGATCCTATGAGTTAGCACAAAGAGAAGGTGTTGAAGTTGTACTTGCCCAACATTTCAGAGAGATGAAAGGGCATTAAGAAAGAACAAAAGGCAGTGAAATTCCACAGAGTTGAAAAACCGGAGACGGAAGTCGGATGCTATCAAGCTTGACCACCCAATTACCTTCGAGCTTCCTAGCAATGGATACAGGGCTTAACAAAGCTTTGTTGGATGATTTAAATAACTTTATAAAAGGAAAGGAGTTTTACAGAAGGGTCGGCAAAGCTTGGAAGCGCGGATACTTGTAATATGTCCCTCCCGGCACAGGCAAGTCAAGCTTGATTGCAGCCATGGGTAATCACCTTAACTATGAGATCTACGAGTTGGAGCCAACAAATATTAATTCCAATTCTGACTTGCGTAAGTTGTTTTCCATACCTAACCAATCTATGATCATCTTCGAAGATATTGATAGCACAATCAAGCTGCAAAATGGGGAATCGAGGGATGAATCATGGAGGAACAGCAATAAAACTCAGGTCAGTTTACACTTTTCATTTAGAGCACGAATCTAACTTGAGCTCTAGATGAAAGATAACTTAAATTATCCCTTTAAGAAATTAATACTTATAAATATATGTGTTATCTTATTATTTCATCGACAGGTGACACTCTCTGGGCTCCTCCACTTCATAGACGGTTTTGGTCATGCTGTGGTGAAGAACGCATACCTGTCTTCACAACGAATCACAAAGAAAGGCTAGATCCTGCTCTACTGAGACCTGGCCGCATGGACATGCACATCCACATGTCATATTGCACCACTTCAGCATTCAAGCGGCTGGCATTCAATTACCATGGGATTGCCATCACAAACTCTTTGAACAGATTGAAGGGCTTATACGGGAGGTTGAAATCACAAGAGCAGAAGTTGCAGGACAGCTAATGAAGAGCAAGAATTCTCACATTTCGCTACAAGGCCTCTTCAATTTCCTTCTCGAAAAAAAAAATTCAACATAATGGAGGAGGAAAGTTAATGTAATTTTTGAAGGGCAACATGTAGAAACTCATAACTCTGTAGAAGAAAAGTCAGAAGGTAGAAGGGGAGAAAGAATTGTAGAGAGAGAAGCTGTTGAATAGAATGATCTCATTACTTACAATAGAATGTGCACATCATGTATAAATAGATACAATTAGTTATGTCACCAACTAATCTAACAAACTCTAACCATCATAACTTAACAACTAAGTAAAGTTGTATTCAGGTACATCATTAATTGGTGGTCCTATTGTATCCTTAACACACCCTCTCAAGCTAAAGTTAGGAGATCTAACTGAAAACTTGGAAGTCAACTCTCTAAACCGATTAGATGACAAAGATTTAGTGAAAATGTCTGCAAGTTCAAGAAGAGAAGCAACATGATATCTGCACACTGACTTTGCCACAGAGAACCTTTTCTCTGATATAGTGAAAGTCGATTTCAACATGTTTAGTCCTGACATGGAAAACAGGATTGAAGGCCAGTGTAATTGCACTTTTATTGTCACAGAAGATTGCAGGAGTTTTGAGAATGAGAAAGGAAATATCCTGCAAGATTTACAAATCCAACAAAGTTCTACAGTTGTATTGGCTAAAGACTTGTATTCGACCTTAGTTGAAGATCTTGCAACTGTGCATTGTTTCTTTGCACTCTAGGATATGAAGTTGGGACCAAGAAAGAAACAGTAGCCACTAGTTGATCTTCGGTCAATTGGACAACCTACCCAATCTGCATCAGACTACACAGTGAGGCATTGAGGACCTTTAGTAAACCATAGGCTTGAATCAATAGTGCCCTTCAAATATTGGAGGATCCTTTTGACTGCCTGCAAGTGAATGGTCCAAGGAGAATGCATGTACTAACATACTTGACTCACAACAAATGCCAAATCAGGTTGTGACCAGGTGAGATACTTTGAAGCCCCGACAGTTGATCTATAAAATGTAGGATCTGAGATAAGAGTACCCGAGTGATCCAATTTTGCAAAACCAACAGGAGTGGAGCAAGACTTGACACCAAGCATATCAGTTCTCTTTAACAAATCAAGAGCATATTTTGACTGGTTTAGAAACAACCCTTTAGCAAACTTGTGAACTTCAATACCCAGAAAGTAGTGAATGTCACCCAAGTCCTTCACAGGGAACATAATTTGTAACTGAGCAATAATAGATTGACATAATGAGCTAGAGCTGCCAGTAATGATGATATCATCAACATACATGATGGGGTTTGGTTTGATCAAAAAAGCCAGGGGCCTGGATCATGTAAACATCATCCTTTAAAGTACCATGTAGGAAATCATTACTTACATCAAACTGATGCACAAACCAATCATAGGAAACATCAATGGATAATAGAATTTGAATAGTTGTAGGCTTAGCAACATGACTAAAAGTATCAGAGAATTCAAGCCTCTCTTGTTGATGAAATCCTTTTGCCACTAGACGAGCCTTATATTGTTCTATTGAGCCATCTGGTTTATGTTTGACCTTGAACACCCATTTGCAACCTACCATATTTAAACCAAGATGAGAAGGAACCAAATCCTAAGTTCCAATGGATTGCAAAGCTTGAAACTCCTTCTTCATGGCTGCCAGCCAATGTGGATTCTTTGAAGCTTGCAGAAAAGTTATAGGTGTTGGAGGAAGACAAGCAAGTGAATCAACAGAAGGTGGGAGAGTATATTTGGTTGCAGTGAATACCTTTGGCTTGTGAATACTAGCTTTAGCTCTTGTAATCATTGGGTGAGAATTAGTAGGCACAAGTGTAGGTACCAAAAAGATAGGAGGTTGTGGAGTGCTTGAAGTAGTAGATGTGGATGAGGGAGAACTAGCAGATGTTGTAGAGACCAGTTTCTGTGATAAACAACCTTGACTGGCAGAATGGGAATTAGTTTTTGCATAAGGAACTGGAAGAGTCATAGTAATAGGAGAGGAACTTGTAAATGGTGCAACTGGAGAGGAGTTAGAGACTGAGAACATACCATTCTTAAAAGGAAACAGTTGTTTGTCAAAAGTTACATGCCTTGATACATAAACTTTGTTAGTCACTGGGTCAAAACATCTGTAACCACTATGATTGAGACTGTACCCTAGAAAAACACACAGTTTGCTCTTAGCACACCATCATCATTCTTGTGGCTTGAGGAAATTCTACAAAGACGCAAAAAATTCGTTAGATAGTTGCTTGTAAAAATTAAAAAATAAATAAATAAATAAAAATAAAAAATAAAAAAAGATGCGGCGCAATAGGCCCCACAACACAAAAAAGCCTTTCGGCCTCTTTTTTTTCTCCCTTACACGCACGGGCCCAAGCCCAGTGAAAAGGAAAAAAAAAACAAAAACCAGCTCAAGGCCAAGACAGCTTAGGCAGACCAAACCCAGCAACCCGCATCCCACTCTATCTCCTTATATACACGGGCCCGAGCCTAATATTCAAAGAAATAAAATAAAAAAAGAAAGGCATCAAGCCTCACGACCCAGACCGCAGCGCCCAAGCCTCTGCCAGCCGCACGCCAGGCCCGCGCAGCCAGCCGTCAGCCCAAGCCGAGCCACTACTGCGCCAAACCCACCCCACGACAGCAACTGTGTCGTGGCCTTTCAGCCACCTTTTCATACCTTCTCAACCCCTGTTGAGCCAAATTCAAGCCTTGAGGCTCCCAAAAAATTAAGAAGACAAGGAAAATTAAATTTTTCTTACCTTGAAGCGGCATGAAGACGAAGCAAGCAACAAAAGACTATCCCTTGCATGGGCAAGATGTAGAAGATTACTAGGGGAGAGGGAACAAATATCATCTAAGCTTTCTCTCTCTTGTAGGGAAAAATAAATCACTCGCCAAAGTATATTTAATAATCTACTTATGGTAGACTTAAATAGACTTTGAGAGAAATTTATTTCCCTTTCCTAAAATGATCTAATTTCCAATTAAGAAGGGAATCTACATTAAAACAAGAAACAATCCTAAGTTTCCCAAAGCAAGAAGATCTTTACAACTGTTGCCCTTTCCTGCGAGCAGCCCAACAGGTGTGGGGGTATTTGTGGAGCCAACAATAATCGAGAAAAATATGGAGGCGACATGTGGATTCTACGGTTACAAAGACAAAATTACCCTTGAGGCACACCGAAGCTTCTAAGCACGAGCAACGGAAAATCATCACTCAATCAAGGTCAAAAGTGATCAAAATAGGTATTTATTCAAAACTTATTTCATCAATCCTCGTCAAATCCTCCCCTCAAGGTAACCTCCAAATATTCATTCAAAATAAGATTAATTACCTAGATTAATTAATTTTCTAATTAATTTCCTAATTGATTGCATGATATTATGGTGACATAATATCTTGTAATTACACCCTAAAACCACTAAATGTGGCTGGTTCCCACCTCTCCAAAGGGGGCTGGCCACACCCCTATAAATATCACTCCATTTCTCCAAAAACCTAAGTTGAATCCTCTTGCAAAATTCTCTAAATTCTCCAAGCACTTTTCCCTCTAAATTCTAACTTTGGCATCAGAGGATCTTTTGCTTGCCTTCCGTTGTCTTTCCCATAAACCAGAGCAGTGCTCGCACAGACCTGAATCTTTGCTCCAATCTTAAGCAGTTCGCTTACTAGAAGAAAGCAGGAACATATATGACAATATCCCAATGCACGTAGTACAAATTTGTAAGCAATATTATCGGTTTCCCAAACATTGAACAACAAGAACGAATGTCAAAGCCAATAATACAGGGGACAGAAGTGATAACAATTTTCCTCCTCGTACTCTTTCAATACCATAAAGAATCAACTCAAGGGGAGGAAAATAAACTGAAAAAGCCCAGGGTTGCCGCCAAGTTCTTCATTGGCTACTTCACCTAATTGACGTTCTCTTTTGTTTTCAAAATTTTTTATTTTACCTTCTATCTTTTTCTTTGTTTCAAGATTTTGTTTTTTGGATCATATACTTTCTAGTTCTGCTAAATTTGCTAATCTTTATTTAATTTTTTTTTTATACAATAGATTTGTTAGATTAAATGTTAGATTAGGGAGCCGACGTTTCTTAATGTTATTTTCCTTATAAAAACGTAGGCATCAAATTTGTAAACTATGAGAGTTGAACATGAGACATTTCATTTATTACACATAAAAAGAAATATCCTAAACTACTAGGGCATACAATGTGTTTTACATTTTAAGATCCAATTGATCGTTAGAGATGATAGCTTTCATGTAAAATACTCAAATCTTCTTGTTCATTTGAAATTTGAAAAATGTATTACAAAACATTGGTATTCTCAATTTACCAAATGTTTGAAGTTTGAACAATGACTTGTCAGATTTTAGACCAGAAATCCACCGCATGCAATCCTAACATTTGTATTCTCCCCTTATCATTTTGTCATTTTTTTTGTCAAATTTTAGTTGAAAGGGAAAAAATTGCGGAAAATAACAAGTAAGTTGACTCCCTCCACGTACTTTAAGATAGAAAGTCTAACAATTACCACACGATACTAACCAACTCTAAATTCTTTCACTTATAAAAGACTCTGGTTTCCTTCAAGAAACTTAACACGAGGGGGAACACCAAACACCATATACAATAAAGAAACAAGAAATTCATAACGCCAGTCGAGGGGAAATAAAATGGCCAAGGCTTCGGGTATCGCAGCACTCTTCGTCACCTTGTCCTGCTTCTACTCTCTGGCATACGCCACCACCGGTGCCGACATCGAAACTCTATTTGTGGAGGGCAAGGTGTACTGCGACCCATGCCGCGTCCAGTTCGAGACTAGACTCAGCACACCCCTCGACGGTAAGTTGTATAGTCTAACTAGTAGTTACATAAACATGGCCGGGGCTCGTATATCAATTGGTTAATCAAAAGCATCCACCTCTGCCCTTGAAGTTCCGATTTATCCGTTCATATCAAAATTACATACATATTCGGTTTTGTCTATTCATTAGTGACTCCATATATTAGGCTTCTCAATTTTCTTATCACAAATGATCAAATGTTATTTGGTTTATGAAACGAAAGGAAGATGGTTTTATGTGAACGTTATTTGTTCCCTAATCTCAAAGCGATTTTGTCCCTCAAACTTGAAATGCTAGGTGTCTCTTTTTCTTTAAACAAACTATATTTCGGGATATGAAATTGAACTCATAACTACATAGTAAATATTCTAACCATTTGAGCTGCAAGTTCTTTCTTTAACGTAATACTATACTATCCACGCATGTGTTAAAATTAAAAATAATTGCATGCATGCAGGTGCTACGGTAGCCTTGGAGTGCAGAAGCCGTGAAAATGGTACAATGGTATACAGACTCGAAGGCAAGACCGATAAGAATGGCATCTACAGTCTGCCCGCCGACAAGAACTTTGAGGAGCAGATCTGTGAGGTGAGGACCGTGAGCAGCCCAACCGGCGATTGCGCTGACCACTTTGACATCGAGAAGGCTAGGATTTTGCTCACTCACAACAATGGTGTGAAGGCCATGGCTCGCTACGCCAACCCCCTTGGGTTCATGAAGAAGGAGAGTACACCAGAGTGTGAGGCAGTTCTTAAGGAATTGTTCCCCGAGGAGACTGAAGATCAATAAAGTATATGATCATGTATAACTGAACTCTCCGTCCTCATTACAATGTAAACTACTTAATTATATAATATTCATGGGAAGAAATTATAACCGTCCCAATATCTAATCATACACCAATTCTCTACAATTTTTTACTTTTTTGGTATTTAATTTTAGAAGAAATTAAAAAGAAAAAAAAATAACGTGGGAGTAGGAAATAGAAACACTCAATCAAACATGACCAACAATAGGAGAAATTTTTTCAGTGTGTTTGTCTATCATAATACAATTAGTTGAAAATATTTTTTTATCAAGTTTCCAACCAATATTATTGCACTTGATGTACCGGAACATATTCCTTGCACATTGAAAAATCTTTTCAATAATAGGTTTAACTTTGATATTAGTGGACTAGTTAACTTGAGCAAAAATGACTGGATGCTTTTATTTATGTTTTTGGTTTTGGTTTTTATAATTAGGATTTGTATACAAGCTTTCATGCGACTCAAATTCAAACATTTTGTTTTTTTCCTCCGCTTATTAATATACGAGAAAGATCGAACTTGTGGACGCCATTAATTAAACACTCGAATTAGGAATTTAATTGGGGGTGTTCTAGGATTTCACACTTTCTGTGCGACCGTCCGAGTTTGTTTTCTAATGTTATTTCCTTCCATTATATTATCTTCCGCTCTCTCTACATACATACATTGGTGTTGTAACAAACAAGCATTTGCTCTGCAATGTACATATATTTTGTTCACAAACATCGTAAAATATGATAACTACAAATTTGTTTACCATTAAAATACCGATCATCAATATCATTTTAGAAAAGGGACAACAGGGAAAAAAGTTTCTGATATATTCCTATCAAGTTATTATAATCACACAATTTTTTGTGTTTCTTGTCATTCGTCGCTTAGGGTTTAACTCTCGGCATTTCGCAATCAATAAAATAACTGCAGCTTAAACTTATCAATCTGCTTGAAATAGAATACAAAGCATTGCAAAAGGGAAACCACAAAGTTTGACTTCAGTCGATCCAAGCCTCAGAATTTTGCTAAATCTAGCAGTTGATCAAATCAGTGTTATTTGCCAATCAGAAAGGCCGAAGAAACTTAAGCATGTCTGTATGTTTGAACGTGAGAATAATCTTTACGAGTTTCTGTACCTTTGCATGTAAAAAGTACACAGAACTTGCATGTATATGATATGTGAATGATGTGAAGGGAAGTCGAACTTTAGTGTTTGGATAATGAGGATGTGATCGCACAAAATAAATCAAAGAAAATTAAGAAGCAAAAATGAATGAGAATGTGATCGCACCAAAAAAAAAAATTGAGTGTGCAATAATCAATCATGTTCAGTTACCAAACAGATGATGCTTGCGCCTCCTTCATGGAGCGACTTACTTGTTCTACTACTTACGATTAACGAATTTTTATCATCCGAACATCATAATTATAATCATTCATTTTATTTTATCATCATCTAAAAATCATATATGCAAAAAGTTATTCAATTTGGAGATTTTTGTCATTCTTATGCATAAAATAAATAGACGGTTCATCATGAGAATGCTACTTGTTACCAAAACTGTTAATTGGTTTAACACATAATGATGACTAAAAGATCTAGAAATTGAATGATTTTTTACAAATATGTCTTTAGATAATGATAAAGAGAATGAACATTCCAATTATGATATTCAGACAATAAAGATTCATTAATCATAAGTAAGGGACAAGTAAATCCTCATAAGAAGACACAAGCATTATCCTATTTATAATCACTCACCATAATCGTCTGCTCAACCCTTTTCCCATTGGTTCCAAATCATTTGGTTTATAAAATTTTTGTTTAGAAATTTAATCTCCTTAACAATACTCTTTTTTTAGGAGAACGGCTACCAATTAGCCAAGATGGAGTCGAAATCTTTTTTTTTTTTTTTTTTTCTTGGTCAAAAGTCCAAAATCATATACGTGAATTAAAATAATCAAATGGTGGTCGGAACATAACGAGTCCTTTAACAAAATCACCAAAATAACCATCAAAACATCCTATACTTTTGTTTATGGATCCCTATTTGACAATTTAAACTTTGAATCAAGTCGATCGATTATAAATTTTACAAGTGGTGAATTGCACGCAACCCTGTTATGTTTTAGGTTTCGTTAATGCAAATTAAGATAGAATATCACTTGTTCTAACACAACTATTTAACTACTTTCCAACCAAATGAAGAAAACAAAGAGCTTTAAAGAAAAACTCACAGTACTGTTTATTTTAACGAAAAATCACACTTTTACATTAAAAAATTAATCTTGATACTATTCACTTTACCTTTTATATTACTCTTATCATTAAAACTTTCTTATAAAAAAAGTAACTAAACTGATTATTCGTTTACAAATTTATCGGGTCCTCAAAGCAGAAAACGAAAAGGATAATAAACAAATTAAAAGGAAAAAAGATGAATAAAATAGAAGAGAATAATTTTATGAAAGAGAAAATAAAGGAGAAAGAATAATAAACAAGTCAAATCATTCCCCTTTATTTTATTTTTCAAGGAAATAAAAAACACGTAAAATATTCGGAAACCGAGTGCTTTATTTTGATTACTTCTTCGTCCTAGTGAGAGAAAGGAAGAACAGCCATCTCTCTGTCTCTGCAAAACCCTCATTGCGTAGTCTGCAATCGACCTTCGAATGGCGAACAGTAATCTTCCCCGACGAATCATCAAGGTTCGCCCTTCAATCTTCTTGGCGATCCCTCTTTTAATTTACCTCCGACCGCTCTGTATGCGTCTACCGAAACGAAAATTTAGGAAGTTTGAATTGTTTTTTTTTTTTTTTTTTTTGTGTGTGGTAATTTCATCCAATATTTTTACTGTGATATGTGCCTCAAAAGATTCGATCTTTATCATTTTTTTCATAGAATTTCGTAGCAACCAAATGGGGATTTAGGGTTTTGTTGTTTTGATTTTTGGGTAATTTTTTAACAATTTTTGCTTTTGGGTTTCTGATCCAACAGGAAACTCAACGTCTCCTCAGTGAACCTGGTAAGTGATTCATTCTTTCCCACTAATTATTTGGAGCTGGAGTTTGAAATTGTGGTTAAAGTTATTTTCAATTGTCTTGTAAAGCAATTCAAATGTGAGCTTGATAGTTTTTTTTAGGCTTTAGATGTAATATAAATGTGCTAGTTTTGTTGGGGTTTTATTTCTAAAGGGTTATTTGCGGTTTCCTTACTATGTGATGCCGTGAAATGTGATTACAGCTCCGGGAATTAGTGCTTCACCGTCAGAAGACAATATGCGATATTTCAATGTGATGATCCTTGGCCCGACACAATCTCCTTATGAAGGTATATATAACAGGACTGACTTATTTGTGGAATGCATTATCCACGAAATCCATACCTGGTTGGTTATTATTGTTTGAAATCTTTTACTTGTTTGAGTAAATTTCAGAAAAATGCATCTACAGAAGGTTTATTGTTTGAATTTTTTTTATATGCACATAAATTTATAAGTTTGAGCTCTACCTTAGGATTACAAGCGTGATGGAACTCTGATTGGGGGAATGATGACTATTTATTGTTTGGATGATTGTGTTGTTTTATGTGAAAGTGAGGTGGAACAAATTAAGGACCTTGTTGTATGTCAGAGTATTTTTGAGGAATGACTAGGAGGTTGGATCGTTTTGTTGAGCCACATAGTGGTTAGTGATCGCTGAAGGTTTTCTATCTTTGAGATTATCGTTACTCTTGTGTACGGAAAAGAGTCCATTTTCTAATGTAACAAGTGGGGTTCCCTGGGATTACATTGTGCTGAGGGGGCATAATCAATCTCCCTTACAGTTTCTTTAGGAAGTGTATATATATATAAAGTAAACAATCATCAAATGCATGCAGCTAGGCCCAGCTAGACAATGTCATGGAGCGACTAGTGATTTTTGCAATATTCCCAAGGACTAAGTACAGAAAAACAGGAATGCTTTGGATTTAGTTGCAATGGATGGCTAGGAGGAGATCATGCTACTAAGAAAGGCAGGCTAATTGAGGAGATGATGTAGTAATCATCCCTATAATTGGGGAGAGTTATATCTCACCTTGGCAAATTTGTATGTCGCTCATACTGTGGGAAAGTGTAGTCCATTTATGTACCGCCTGTCTATCTAATATGTGTTTGTTGGCCTGTTAGAGGGTTATAACATTGACGTCAAACAACTGTGTGTCAAGTACAATAAACCAAGCTAGATTATTGAAGATAGCCTTTCTAGCCAGTCACCACTCCGCTATTTTAAATATTAGCCAACCATCAATTTCAGTGTATACCACTGGAGAAAATTTCTCTTTACATTTGTGCCAAGTGACAGTATACTTTGATTTGTTTCAGCTTGAGAGAAATGATAGCCTTATTTATTCTTATATGCTGTTATATTTGCCACTTGGTTACTACAGTTTATACTCTTAGTCAGAAACATAACTATCAAATGTCAGTTTTAGGAATGTAATATGGGTTAACATGGCTCCTTTTTCTTGTTATTCCTATGGTTTCTTTTCCGTCACTTACCAACATAATTGGTAGATTTAACATCATATATTTTGTTTCTTTTCAGGAGGAGTTTTCAAGTTGGAACTGTTTTTGCCTGAAGAATATCCAATGGCTGCTCCAAAGGTACTTTGATTTGAAGTCATTTTTCAGTATTACAATCTCAAACAGCTAAAAGATTGAGGGACAGCATGAAATAAAACATTTCAATTGACAGAAGCACTTTTAATTCTTGCTTCGGATATCTGGAGTTATACCCTTATTTGATAAAATGGGTTTTATCTTCACAGTTTTTGTTCCTTGGTTGTGATGGATTTCATCATAGTTTTGTTTCATTCGTATGATTCTCTCATTGTGCAATCTGATGACACTTTATGAGGTTCCGTGCTTTTCTGTTATGTGCGGTTTTTGCCTACAGTAGCTGTATGTGTTTTGAGAACTTTTCTGAAACAGGGTAGTCTTTTAAAGCCAGGTATTCTATTTACTGATGACAAATTGTTGTTTGGTATGTGTATATATAATGCATTTGGGGTGGATCTTTAGGATCTCAGAGGCAATTCTTAATGTTGCAAAAGATAAAGAAGTTAAATAGCTGAAGTCATTTGGCTTTTATGAATAAATATTATTTTTCATTTGACGCTTTTTTGACAACTGTGAATCTTATTGTTAATGATTTATGGACTGGAATACTTTCAAATTTTATTGAATATATTGCGAGTATTGATGATGATAGAACATTAGTTAATAGTTTTGCATGGATGGTGTTTTAGATTAATAAAAAAAACATATTCTAAGAATAATTTGCATATTTTCATCTTTACTGGCAAATGTTGTCAATTGTGGCATGCTCACATAGGTGAAATTTGGTAGTGTGCGGTTGAATAGTTTGCTGGCCTTTCCCAACATGGTACCTGAAATTGTTAGACTTCCTAAGGCAACTCGTTGTCGTTGTTTATTGATTTTGCATATGTGTAAGGATGTGGATTCGGTCTTGCAGTGTAAGGCTCCAGTTTTTCTTCCTTAAGCATGCCCCTAGACGTCCGAACATTCTTTATTTTATGTTGATCAAGTAATCATTTTGTTTTTCCGTTGTATCAGGTTCGATTTCTCACCAAAATTTATCATCCTAACATTGACAAGGTAGGCTGTGCATATGGTTTTTCCCCCATTCCTCTCACTTTCAAAGGTTCCCCAAATAATTTCATGCCTTTTATGCACGGTTTTCTTAATCCAGCTGGGAAGGATATGCCTAGATATTTTGAAAGATAAGTGGAGTCCTGCTCTCCAGATTCGAACTGTACTTTTGAGGTATTATGCTTTGATATTGTCTTTGTCGTAAATCTATACCTGTTCCGTGATCAAAACAAAACCATACATCAGTTTTCAAAAAAACAAAACCATACATCAGTTTTCAAAAAAACAAAACCATACATCTGTGTGTATCACAGGGTAAAATATCACAATAACTTTTAGTGAAAGTTCATGCTCCTGTAATGTATGGTTAATTCTTTTCTTTTTCTTTTTCTTTTTTTTGTTTTTTTTTTGTTTTTTTTGGAGTCCATATCCTTTTTAAGTTAAAATTGAAACTGAATTATCGACAACATTGCTATCATTTTTTCCCTAGTATTCAGGCACTTTTAAGTGCCCCAAACCCCGATGATCCACTCTCAGAGAACATCGCAAAGCATTGGAAATCAAATGAGGCCGAAGCTGTTGAAACAGGTGTGTTGATCGCTCGCTTGTCTTACTACTGGTTTCCCCCAGCTTACCTATTATTTGAATGTCAATCAACAACGTTGAAGCTAATGCATTCTTCCTTGATCCGTGCAGCCAAGGAATGGACCCGTTTATATGCAAGCGGTGTGTAATGGCATGGTAAAGGTTCATCGTTCCTTAAAATAACATTACTGCAATGTACGCTGTTCACTGTCATTTTAAAATGGAAATTTGGATGAATTGATGTTTGGAATATTGGAAGTTTAATGTTCGCAAGCTACCGTTTGCTTCCTGATAATTGTTCCATTTCTTAAGGAAGCTTGTCTGTGAACCTGTATGATCAAGGATTATCACCGGTCTCAAACGACGACTGTGGGGTTTTTTTGAGACACTCAAGGTATGGATTTCTGTTTATCAATATTGTGAATATTTCTTTCAAATTTTCTCTCTCGTTTTCCTATGTTTGAAGTACTATTCCCTATCGGGTATGTCTGCAATTTATCGTTGTCTTTTCGGTTGCTTGGACGAGATTGGATTGGATAACTCATAAAACCTCATTGCACGTTTGATAAAATTTCACTTCTAAACCATAACGAGTAATTAGACGTGAAGGAAATTTGTCGGTCACGCGTAATCCATCTTCTAAAGTAATGTTTGTTTTCGTCATGTCTTTCTTTAACCTACTACATTTAGCAATCCAATTTAGGCGAATTCAAAGCACCAAGAGCCCGCGGATTCTAACCCTTAGAAGGAGATGAAGTTTACCATCTTTTGTATCCTTTGCCTCTCTCGTCTCATGATGTGTTATGCCAATCAAATTGGTGATTCAAATCAAATGATCGACTTTAGACATGATTCGTATTGGGCCTGGATGAAACGGACTTGATGGGCTTAAGCCAAGTGTACGTTTTGTGTTATTTGAGTTTGGGCCTCCAACATACCAAAAGGAGAAAACGAAAACAAAATTGAAAATTGTACCAAAAACCAATAAGACTAGGCGTGTACTATCCATGCACTATTTTTACTTCTTACCCATTCCTAGTAATTCTAGATCGTCGAATCGAATGAGTTGAAGAAGATTAAATGGTAAAATTTAAAATGGAGTGTGAGGGAAGTGAAAATGGGTGGATGGGTGGATAGCACCACCCCAAAACTAAGGGTTGTCCCTTGAAAATCTATCTCGTTAATATATTTGTATTTAACCGCGGTCGTTCATCATTCGTCATAAAGATTTTAATATATGCGCTCTTTTAGCAAAGTCAAAACTATTGTCACTAGATCGAGAAATTTTGTGAAAAAGGCGAGAAAGATAAAAGGGTGGCATTACAATAAATGAAACTATACAAACGAACGAAGAATGTAAGATAGATCGTACTTGGGTGTAAATGGTCAGATCGACTCTTTTATTTACTGGACGAACTCACATAGCAATCAAAACTTGAAAACATCCACAAAACGACATGGTTTTCAACCCGCAATTTTCTTGTGATTTTCCGTATTGAGTTCCACTGCGGCTGCTCATTTTACGGCCCTAATTTGTAGGGTAGGGACACGTCACAACCGTACCTCACACACAAAAGGCCAGACCGTGCACGTACCATCATCGATGCATCGTTCATTTCACTGTTTCACTTTGGATCCTTCTCCGGTCCCCTCCACTGTTCAGCCCCACGCGTGCGCCCATCTTCTCAACTTTGTTCTGGTTTTTGTTTTTCTTGTTTTGTTTCCAGCGATGTCGTTAGCACTTTAATAATAGAATACCATGTTTTTTCTTATATGACAACGTGATATTTTACTGTGTAGATATTGTAATTCCAATCGAGGATTCTCTTTATTATTTTTTAGCATCCATTTTTGAAAAAAATTTAGTCGATTTGGAGACTTTGTAGTCATCTATACGTAACAAATAGGTTCAAATTTGGGTTTAGTTTGGTATTACTTTGTTTCCACTAGAAACTGCTTCATCTTAACGTTAAGTAATAAAAAAATGTATAGTAAAACTAAAATATCTTCTTATTGCCTCTAGGCAAGAATTTTTAAAAGCTACTTCATAAAAAACGGAGTTGAGCCTTTAATGAATATTTTCAATTCATGTAATATCTTCATTGCAACTTAGTACTCCAATCTAGTGATATTTATTTTCAGTTATAAGTAAAAGTCCTAGGTTTATTTTTGTCAAAAGTGAATTCGAACCAAATTATTATGACTAGTCCATTGTGAGGTTTAGTCATCTCGCTCATTCCTTAGTTTAGATAACATTGATTGCATTTAAGAAATACCTTCACTAATTTTTTAGAAACAAAATTATTTATCTTTTTACACATGTTTTATCCATTAATTGGAGAACAAAGCGACCGTCATCACCCACCACCACCGCCATTGCCACCATCAATGTTGCTACCAACATTGCCACCGCCACTACATCCACCCTTACCACCATTGTAGTTCTACACCCCCAACCACCACACTCTACTATTGGCACTACCACCATTCCGCTATTATTCCCGCTACAATCACCACCACCACTACCTCACCACCATTACCTCCGCCACCATTGTCATCGCCACCATCCCACTACCATGTTGATTTTTATCATTATATGCAAACACCATGTCAATTGTACATTAAAATTTACCAAATGCTTTTACAATACTTTTCATACTCACAACACTTTTAAAAATACAATTTATCAAATGCTCATTTGTTTAATATAATAGCTGAAGCGTTTAGATTATGACATTTGTATAGTAAAATAATGTCATGTCTTATTAGAAAAAGAAGTAACTTCTCACACGTAAAGAGCTAAGTAATTCTAAGAATATTATCTTCACTCCCTTTATACATTCTCAATTTGTATCTGAGAAATGTTAATAGATTCTCTTAAAAGTGGAATTCTCACTTAACTTTCTGCCATCTCATTTTTTGACAGAATATTTTATGACGTTGACTCGGGATTGCTGTTAAACTGTGAGATGACAGAGTACAAGATGATCTTTTCGGAATGTGGATACACAAAAACATCCTTTGATTCTTCGTCTTTTTGTGAATTAGATTTCATTTTATTTACAAAAAAAAAATAATAATAGTAATAAATTTATGAGCACGTGAGCAAAGTGATTGGCCGGCCGTTTTGAGCGCTGGTGACGCACCGACCGGGGAGTTTGATAGTTGTGACGCACCACCGAACTGTCTCATCTACTCACTTGTCTTGTGTTATTAAACTCTTATAATTTACAACAATCATACGATATCACTGTACCAATACTGTCCCTACCACAGAAAATGGATCTTCGGATCTCTTCATCCTAATTCATCAAATCAGGAAATTTGTGCCGTTGAAAATTAATCTAACAGTTACAAACAAGAGCCCATTTTAAAAGTTATAATAACTTCAGCCGTTGGATCAATTTTCAACGGTACTAATTCCCTGATTTGATGGATTAGGAGGAAGAGATCCCGCCTACCACATTTGCCCCCTCTCACATTTCTTTTTTCTTTTTAATTTCTTCCAAAGTTTGAAATAATACTTTTTTTGTTTTAATTCTTAAGCTTTTTAATCAAAATAATCTATGAGGTTGGTGTAACTAATCACTTAATCTTAGTTAATTCTTAACTATAAAAATTGATAAAAATGGTACTAAGTTAGTCAATCGAAATTATTTTGATCATTCTGTGAAAATTTGTCAATATCCCTATTAAGTGGAAGAGTTGGTTTGACAAGATATACTTAAAAGGTGGTTACGTGGTTGGTAACATGACAATTTAACGAGAATATTGGCAAATTTTTCACAAAATGATCAAAATGATTTTCAGTGGACAAACTCAAGGATCACTTTTCTCGATTTTTATTGCAAAGTAAGGAGTTATACCAACCTTAAGGATCTTTTAATCAAAAACCTTTAAAATGCATCGCTTTCAAAACTAATTTTATCTATAATTTTTTAATTCAATGATTTTTGTTCATCTGACTTGAATTTAGAATTCTTTTGTCAACATAATTTAGGCCGAGTTCCACTAATCATCTTGCGTAACGCTTTTGTTAAAATACAGATACTTGTGCAATGTTTGATAAATGGTTGCACAAGTTTTTTCTATCCCTCACAAATCTACTTTTTCTATTTTCGTCTACCGGTTAAAAGCAATTTTAGTTATTAAAAACGCGTTTAGCATTGGCATAAGCATTCCCAAACATATCCTAAACAATTCGCTCTACAACACATTCATATTTCATATGTTTCCCTTCACCCAGAGACCTATCATGTTCCATTATTGTAATGTAACTTAATGGTCGGAAATATAACCATATTTCATTATAGTAATGTAATTTGATGGTCGAAACTGTACGTCTTTTTAAGTCATTTTAAAGACTAGCTCTTTAAAAAGAATGAATGAAATCGTCTATTATTCATTTTGAAACTGTTACAATAACTAATGAGATGAAAAGTTTCAAATTCAGAACGTATGAATAGAAACTTAATATCATATCCACTATGATATATGATCATATACTCTACTATACACTTATTTACAAGAAGGATCATCAAAAGCTGCCCTATGAACGTAGGGATGGTCCCTAATCAGAAAGGAAAAGGTTGTGTATAAAAGAAGAAATAAATTCAATTCATTGCGATTTGAGACGGCACGCAAAGACAGTCCCTAATCACAATCAGTGCCTTCCCAAACATAACAATCAATCAAAGATTGTTAGAAAGTAAAGTTGAGAAGGCAATAGGCCTACTTAGTGCGGTGGTCGCCGTCAGCGCCAGCCGCCCAACCGCCCTCGGACACACATTTGATATTAGCACCCACCACCTACCTTTTGGAATTTATAATCAGCCTGATAAGTTTAGTTGTGTATTGAGTAATTAATATGTTGCCTCTTTGGGAGGATGACTTACATATACAATGGTCCATCCTCACGTCACATTTTAGTTCAATAAACAAACTCGTTGTCATTGTAGTGTTCAGTTCTAACAATACAATAATACAATGTTGTTTACTTTTTCTTCATCTAACATTGCATTACTAAACCGGAATGTCACCTAACACTAAACAACTTGCAAATGTTCCTTAGATAAAGATAGCAGCGTCAATCCTCCACCGCAAACCTCTGCTACTCGCCCATCACGCGTATCTCTTGAGCAACGCACTTTGGTAATTGGTGGTTATTAAAGTGCATTTAGCACTATTTGATAGGATTACCATAAGGCTTTTTATGCAGGTGGCTTACTCACCCCCATTTTCCGTTCATCCAGTTTATTCGTGGGTTCTTTATCTTAGTGATAGTGGCCGATTGGCAATGGTGGCGCAACTGGCGTGGTGGAGTATGCATTCTTCCCGATCTAGGATTTTTGTTGTTATGAGCTTACTTTATTTTTTTTACTTTTCGGTGTATTTGCTTTTAGACTATACTTGTATTTGAACTATCTTTGAGCTTTTTATTTCTTGTATTAGTTTTTAATTAATGAAAGTTATCTTCGACAGAAAAAAAAAAATGATAAAGATAGCAGCAGCTGCCGACTTAAATACTCACATCCATGTCATGCAAAGCACTGTAGCACACCCCAAATATTATGTCATAATGCAAACAAATTGATATGATAATCAAATGATTAGCAACTAAGCAACCAATTAGTGGTTGGCTAAAAAGGAGGGACAAACAACAGAATCCAATAATGACAGAGCATATCTGTGTAGGCCAATTTGTTTGGCTAAACCATTGTAGTTTAAACTATTATTTTATCATAAAAAATTAATCAAAGGTCTTGCTGAATGAGAAAGAAGCATACATTTGGAGGTGTGGCGGTGAGTGTTACTAATTCACGTTTTATATTATAAGCAAATTGTAACATTAAAAAATTAATGCGCGTCGTATCAAAACTCAAGGGCATAAGATTTTGAATTAAGTCACAAATGAATCAGCTATAATAATTTAATATCAAACTTATCATTCGCGAAAATCAAATATAAAACCTTCAATTTACAAGTGAAAATATAAAAATATCACTTGACAACAGCGCTTGATGCCAATAAATATTATAATAACTTAAAACATAAACGAGAATGTTAACATCGCATGATAAAATGCAAACCGTAGCTAAAAGTTACCGTTAAGGATGGCATTTAGTCACTTTTGTGTTGCGAAAATTTCTCCACTAAAGGAGGGGAATCTGGTTGAAGAAGAAAAGGGCATTGAATTGAATAGTTTCAACGACCAAGTCCATCTAATTCTTAACAAGAAGTTAAGAACACCAACGTTCATGAAACCCCACACTTTATCCTTTCTGCAGCCAAGTCAACAATTCCCTTTAGGGAAAATCCCCCATAAACTAATCCTACAAAATCAGTTTCCTCCAACACTCAAAACATGGTTACCTAAGAACTGGTTTAGAATTGATGCGCTTTGAAAAAAAACTGCTTTTAAGAATAAGCTCATTTTTGCTGTTTCACGTTTTTAGCTTATTTTCACCCAAAACTGTAAAAATAAGCTATTTTTAAGTGTTTACCAAATATTTTTTTAAGCTTAGCTTTTTTTTATTCCTATTTTTTATAAAAACATCTCAGTACTAAAAACTTAGCCCACCTAAATTTGTACCGTACTCCAGAGTATTTTTATATCTGGAGGGTTTAGCCGTTAAATCTTTATTTAAAATACAATAATCAAAATTTAATGATTAAAAAATTTAGAATATTATATAATCCGAAACACCAATCTCACCTGAGAAGGTGCCAGGCAGTCGAGACTAGCATTAACGCTAATATGTTGATTAATACTCCCTAGAATTATTGAATTTTGTTAATTAAACTACCATGTGTCATACATCCCTAGATTGTTGAGAAACAAATGAGATAAGAGCCAGTTTGGGACTGCCTCTGAAAAAACTAAAATCGTTTTTCTACAGCTATAAGCACTTTTGACTAGGTCATAGAGGCACGTTTTGAAGAAGAGATTTTTTAGTATGGCCGATATATATAATGGTACACCACGTGTTACTATAGAAATGGTGGGATATGTATGCTAAAAAGTTAATAATTTAAAAAATAAAATTTCTCACCACTCCTATTAAAACACGTGATGTACTATTTGTATTCCCGTCACAACTAAAAATTTCTCCGTTTTGGAGAAGCACTTCCAAATGCTTCCGTCAAACACTCGGATTTTTCATAAGTTCAATGTTCTTCTATAACGAGCACTTCTAGCAGAAACGCTTGCGAGCAGAACACATACATTGACTTAACAACATGATTGGATTATTTTAGATGCAGATTCTAGGTGAGAGAGAAGATGATACAGAATAGAAACAATGTAGAGTGAGAAACAAGGAAAATATAAAATTTTTATTGTTGAATAATTGGTTTGAGAAAGAAACGACAATAATAACATATCCATCCTTCATTCACAAACTCAGTAAGCACCCACCACACATCCCAATCTCCCTCCTGATTTCCATTCTTTTTTTTGTATATATCATCACATATACATGTACAGATGATCCCCTTCTACACCCAGCAACCCTCATCTCTCTCTCTCTCTCTCTCTCTCTCTCTCTCTCTCTCTCTCTCCCCCTACCTATCTACTTCTCTCACTCTCTTTCGCTTGCTCGTTCGCTCTCTCTCTCTCTCTCTCTCTCTCTCTCTCTCTCAAATATAACTACAGGCAAATTAAACAATAGTACACAGTTTCATTTTTGTTTTCTTGGAAGTGGGGATCCAGGAACCAGGCCGGCCTACATCAGAATGAGAAATGAAAAGAGATTGAAGATACTGCAAAAGAAAATGGGAGGGAAAGAGGGGCATAGGAGAAAGGAGGAACAAAGTGGAGCCAGAGAGCAATGGGGAATGAATGAATAAATGAAAACTGAACAAGGAACACTAAGCTACCTCTCTGGGATCCACTGACACAGGCTGCTAATGACATTATTGGTGATTCCGATTATGTCACAGGTATCTGGTACCTTATATGGTGGGAGGCGGAATGGACTGGGAGTTCCTAACAAACTGGGGTGCGGGGTAGCAACAGGAAAAACTCAAAAATCTGGCTGAGGCAGAATTACAGTACAGTCATGAGTTCTAAAAGCTATAATGCCTGACCGAGTGTTCCAACATATCGCGACTGGGGCGCACCATTTCCTTCACTCGGCTACCATTTTTGTAAATCTTGAATGTTGGTAAAATCCTCACATTTTCGGTGTTCGCAACTGCTACGTTTTCTTCAATGTCAACCTATGATCCATGACCGTAATAAGTATAAAAACATTTATTCCCTTAATGTACTTTAGTAGCAATCACAGGAGCATGTAAACTTCAGTCAAACTAGTATATGATAAACATCAATCATCAATTTTACCTTGAGGAAATTTATGGACGGGTAGCGACCACAAAGCGTGTCCAGAAAAGGTGATATTTGCTTGCATTGCAAATCAGAGGCTGCTTTGAAATGGACCACAGAGACACCTGTAAATGCGATTTTTAGGCACTTGTGCACTGATGCAGGTGTACAAATTAAAAGGTGACATAAGTATAGATGGGAAGGCCTACCTGGTAAAGATATCGCAGCTCTGAACTGCTCAAGACCTAGTATTTCTTCCACTTCACGGCCAAACTTTATATTAGAAACTTCTTCCCCACGGGATTTTTTTAATGCAACTTGAGCATGAAACAATGATTCAGCAACTTCATTGTCGTCAGGAAGCAACCTCCTCAAGACCTCATAATCTTTTACAGCCTCTACCCATATTTCTAGCTGTAATACACAAAAATATAACAGACTAAATTGCATTTTTTTTAAAAGAAAATTATATGAACGGAAAAAAAAAAATGAACAGGTTTAGACATGCATTTACCTTGCTGTTTGAGGCAGCCCTTCGGAGAAGGGCTTTTGTATAATTGGGTATAATACTTAGGGCTTGGTTGCAGTCTTCAAGGGAACGCTCCCACATCCCAAGTTTAAACCAACAGGCAGCTCTATTGCAATAGAGAACAGAGTTTGAAGGATCGAGCCTCAGACCTTCTCCGTATGCTGCGCAAGCTTCTGTGAACCTTTCAGCATTGAAGAGATCATTGCCCCGGGCACGAGCTCTCATAACCAAGCGCACATTACTCAGCAGCACTGCAGCTTCAATGTTTCGGGGATCAATCTGTGCTGCTTTCTCAGCAGCAGTAACTGCATTCTCAAACCTGCAACACATCCATCATCTATTCTCACTCTCCACAAAACCCTTAACCATCTTATTTCAGATGAAGCCTAAAATCTTTAAACTCACCTTCCAAATGCCAATTCAATTTGGGCCAAGACAAAGTTAGTGTAAGCTTCAGAAAGCATCCCAAAGAACTTAGATTGTGAAAGGTTGGAATGAGTGTCTAATCTAGGTGTAGTCAATATGACTGATTCAGCATCATCAATTTGGTGGAGCTTCAAAAGTGCTTCCGCTCTACACATAGAGAGCTGTAAATTCAATTTGAACAAGTTCAGCATTTTGCTTATCTTTTCACTAAATCAAATAATACAATCCACATATACAGAACTTACAGAAACTCAGGAATCGACATTTACCTGAGGAGAAGAGTCAGCTCCAGAAGCAATGGTAGATTCGCATTCCCTCAATACACTTTTCCAATCTCCTACACGACGGGAATCTGTACATTTTTTTAGATACTTCTCTACTGCCTGCAATTTCTGTAACTCAGCTGGATCTGGCTGCAGCCCTGGAAAAGAAAGGTGCCTCCTGGAATTCTCGACCTGCCCTAACCTGCGATGGATAGGATTCTGTCAAGTAAATTTCCTGCTACATTAAGCTGGAGAGAAATATTAAAATTCAATCCACCTACAACTCCATAAAACAGCTAAAAGACTGGATCCTAAGAATGTAAAACAAAATGAGCCCAGAAAGTTTGAAACTACACCGAAAACCTCTAAGAAGCTTCCGATAAGCTTAGATGTCGAGTAATTAGCAAACTGCAATACAACTATTCACGCTTATCCAATTCAATCAATTACTAGGTTGAATCGCGGATATTGTATGCACACATTAACTCTTGTGAAAATCAACATACAACAAGGGCAAACCACAGCAGATCCAAACAACAAGCAAATAGAGCCATTCTCAACAATGTTGACCAACTATTTAACAAGATTAACACTAACCCAATTCACTAATCACATCAGTTTCAGAGAAAATAACTGAGCTTTACTGCTTTACATCCCAACAACTCACCTAAGAAACAAAGACCCCAAACGCTGGTGAGCTCTGCCATAATTGGGATCCAACCTCACGGCCTCCTCGCATTCCCTCACCGCCTCCGTCAGACGTCCTAAACCCGTCAATGCCGCCGCCCGGTTGCTCCGGTAGGCAGCATTGGCCGGAGACAATGCAATTGCCCGATCGTACAAGCTCAAAGCCTCTGCAAAATGGCCTCTTCTGTACTTCTCATTCCCAGCTCTCTTCAACTCCTCGGGATCCACACTCACCATTGTTCGCTTCAACAAGTCTCCGCCACCGCCGCTACCCCTCGAACTCACGGCGCTCGCCCTCGAACTCAGGGAACTCGCCGCTTCAGTGCCACCGCCTTTAGCAGCCTGACCGCCCCGCATTATGCTCCCATGACCGTAATTCCCCGTACCCGAACCCAAAACGTCGGTTCTGGGGCTCCGGTTAGGAACCATACCCGTTTTTAAGATTTTCCCAGATGGGCATATGTTCCCAGTGGGCAAAACACTGGGCGGCGGAGAGCTCACGGAGCTCTGACCCGAGTATATATGCGGGTGGGTGGAACACGAATCGGATCTTGTATTACCCGGTTTGAAACTGCGAGCGTTTCCGGCGGATCGGACGCTTTCGGCGGCGGTGGGACTGCTCTCGCTAGAGCCGGATAGCTCGCCGGAGTGGTTGTTAGGGGCTGAATCGGCCCTTCTGGCAACTTGGTTGGGCCCATTTCGGCCGGAAACCGATCCTGAGGAGCTGGAGCTACTACTTGTAGCAGTGGCGATGCCGCCGCTCTGGCGAGTCCGAAGAGGCGAAACGGGCGAACCCAGATCGAGTTCCCGGAAATCGGGCTTGTTGGCTTCGCAACTCAGCGAGTCACGGAATCGATCGTTGAGCGAGTCGAGGCCGAGCTGCTCCGACATGGGCTTCCCGGAATGCGACATTTCCGAAAACAAAAGTAAAGTTCGTATCTTTTTTCCGACTTCCTCTCTCTCAATCAGTAAATTTCGGTTCTTTCTCTCTGGGTCGTCGTCTTCCTCAGCAATGTGTGGGTGTGAAGCTGCTCCGAGAAGAAGAACAATGACTGCTAGCAGAAACAGACGCAGTAAACCCCACAAGCAGCAGAAGGAGAATAAGAGGTTCTGATGAAGACATTAAGGGGTAGAGAGAGACAGGCGAAGGGAAAGAGAAGCCGGGATGGGGATCTCGTGATATAAAAGAAGGAAGCAACGAATGAATGTGAAGTCCGTCCTCTGCGAGAGAGAGAGAGAGAGAGAGAGAGAGGTGAGAACTTTTTTATTGATTGTTTTTTCTCTCTTTCACCTGCTGCTTCACGAGACAAGTTTTGAGGCTTCTCTCCACTTCTCTTGTTTGTATTTTAACCCTAATTTTCCTCCTCCTTTTCTTCTCAATCTATAAATCTAAAATCTCCTCTCTTTTTTCTTTTAGCAAATATACAGTAAGAGAAAGAAGTGAGTTTAATCTTAAAATAAACTAATAATAATATGATTCAAATTTAATTTTGCGAGAAAATCGAACATAAAACTTCCCATTTACAAACAAAAAAGAATATTACTAATGATTTTTATGACACACATATACTGTTGTTCTAACGTCTTATATGAATAATAAAAAAATATTTAACTTTTTATTTAAATAAAATTATCATATTAATACCGAAACATTACAGTATTACAACGTACCATACAAACTCGTGGTTTATTTGTTTTTTTTTTTCTTTGGAAAAAGTAAAGTCGTGGCGTACTCTCTCTCCAGGGGATGTGAGGAACAAACACAAAGACTGGTGACACCTGAGCATGTTGGGGCTCACTCTTTTTCATTACCTTTACTTTCTTTTCCCTTTTGTGAATAAATTGATTGACTTCGCATCGGTTAAGGATTATTGTGTGCCATTTATAATCATCTGTAATTGCTTTAAGGCATTAGAATTGAAAGGTGACACCTTATACATAAATGCAATTTCCTTTGGATGGTTTACATAAACGAGTTTTATCCAATTATCTAGCTTTCAATCTACATATATTTTCTATTTTCTGTCTAACATTGAAACGGTGTAATAAACGAAACGAATATAGTAAGTGCAGAAAAAGGTGCACAAGAGGCTTGGACTAACTTCTATACATTACATCTACTATGTTGTTAAACTCAAGTTGGAAACAATATCAATTTTGTACCAATTAATAGTGGCAAGTCGCTGGTTTACCTCTACTAGATTTTGTCACGCATCAAAGCACGTTGATCGACATGTAGTGGACTGTTCATTTGTCTCTCTAAAATCTTAATGTGATATCAATCTATTTGAGCAGGCTAATTGTTTTATCTAACGGCCAACTCACTCAAATAGTTGGAAGAATGTTTGATGTTGGGTAGGTCAAAAGCCTAAACGTATTGAGCTAGCAAGTGATTAAGTGCAAGTTGAAAACATATAGTGTTAAGAACCAATTGGTTGTAGGTGGGGGTTAGTTATGGATTATAATTACATATACAAAACATGGTCAATCTTGATGTAATACCACAAAAGAAACAAGAAAATAAATAGAAACAAAACGGAAAACCAAACAAAAGAGAAGGCTCAATGGTCCCGTAACCACGTTGGAGCTCAACCCTTTGTCACTACTATTGACAATGACCACCAATGAAAGCAATGCAATGGTGTCCTACTTTACACCTAATTACAATTTACTTTTCACTTCCATAATCTCTCTCTAAAGAACCATTTATATGGAACAGATTTGTTACTGTCGTATTTAATAATATAATGTTATTTATAATTTTCTCTTTACATAGCATTGTATACTTAGAACGAGATATCATGTAACAAAATCCAATCCATGTATGTTGTTAACCATCATGGAGTGCCCTAGTGGTTGATGATAAATTATAGGTTCGTACTTCACACGCATATGTTGGATTCAATTTATGATGTTGGTAATTACCCGATGATAGCTAAAAAAAGATTAATATGCTTTTATAAATATTTTTAATCATTAAAATAATAGACTGTCGTGACAATTCACTTCTTTTTATAATAAAATAAAAAATCCATGCACGTCGTTCCTTCTCTGAGTCAACATATATGTCTTACATTCCTGCACTTTGCAGACTTTTTACTTTCTTACGCAAGCCAGAAGGCCAATCAATACATAGATTTAATGACTGATACCAAATTAAAAAAAAAAAATGATTCTCAACCCTTTTATTCTCTTTTTTTTTTCATCTTTTTTTCTCATATATTACTTTTTATCATATTATTTTTATAAAAAAATCAATATAAGATGTTGATGTAGTTTAACTATGATCGTTTAAATATGAGGGTATAGAATGGTAGAGAGATTAAGAGAGTAAAGAATCCTTCTTCATTTTCAAAATACCCCTCCTCCACTGTCCTTTATTTTACATTTTTACCCTTTAATGTTGGGCCGCCACCTGGCTCCCCCTTATTTTCCCCTCGGGAAGAGATCCCATCCAGACCTCTTCTACCAAATCTTAAGAATCCAAAAATCTAGACTTTTAAAATTTGATAGTTAAAACTAAAAAATCTTTTAAAAATTATAATAATTATAATCGTTAAATCAAATTTAAAAAATTCAAATCTCTGAATTTCTAGAACTTTGTGAGAGATCCGGATGGGATCTCTTCCCTTCCTCTTCGATGAGCCCGAGAGAAAAACACAGTTAAAAGTGAAAAAACGTCTGCCCAAAAAAATAGGGGATAACGGCGAATCAAGGGTATTATGGAGAATAACCGATGATTTAGGGGTTTTTAAGTAATTATGTGAGGGTCTCGACAGAAGTTAGCTGGCCATGTGCTGGAGAGAGTGGCGTGCCAGCTGGCCCATTCAGGGAAAACCTTGAGCCAAACAGTGACGTCCAGCTAAGCAACCAAACGGCGGGAGATGACGTCGTTTAGTGTGATACGGGCAGGGGGCGATGTCGTTTTGGTAAGGGGAGCAGTCGGATGGTGACAGCAGAGGAGCAGGCCAGCATCCGGAGTGACTCTGCAGAGAAGGCGGAGAATGATGACCGGGCGATCTATTTCATGCCAGGTAGGCAGCAGGCTATATGATAACATGACATGGATGCATTTTGTGTTCATCCCAAATCCAAAGATTTTTTTTATTTTTGTTTTTATATTTTTGATGGATATTGTAAATTTATAATCACTTAGATTGTAGTGTTAATTAATTAGTTTAATTCACGTCTGCAATATGTAATCTGTATATTTGCATGGACTTAATAATATTTATTTACTAATTAATTCAAAAAGATTTAAACTGTCAATAAAGGATAAGGGCTCTTAATCCATGACAATCACATTACATTTGTATTTTCGATTAAAAAAATATTGTTGCTGCCTTTTTCGACTATTAATGCTAATTTGGACTTATTAACTTCTCCTTTTTTTATTATAAATTTTGTTCTCCATTATCAAATTTAAACTATTTTTTATTTTCATAATTATAATAAATATTAAAAAATAATAATGATAACTAAAAATAGAAATGAACATTTGCTGTCAATCTCCATCATGTCATATAAGAATTGATATTTCGGTTGAAAAATATTAATGATGTCTTTATTTACTGTTATTGCTCATGAAGATTTTTGAACTCAAGTTTTAGAAATACTCTTATAATCTAAAAAGCCCGCAAATTATAATAATACTGCCATACTGAAAAATCCCACCAAATCTGAATCTACTGCTTGCCTGGGAGAGCCAAAATTATGGCACCACAAGGCACAAGCTCTGCTAAATTGTAGAATAAGAAATCATAAGAGTATTTTTGCATGTAATTTGTAAAACGTCTTAAAACAAACAAAGAAGTGACACACCCCGATCGTAATCAAGGTGTGACGGCCAGCACAGCACGTCTTGATTATGGTCGGGGTGTGTCAAAAGTGTTGAGAAGATTCGTTTAAAGTTTGACTCTTTATGGACGATCTTTTAATTCATAATTTAATATTAATTTTTGTGCAAACGACATATGCCAAAAGTATGAAGTAGCAGAGAATTTATAAAGTGTCATTTTTGAAAAAGTCTACTTACTATTATCAAACATAAAATACATTTTGTTTTGCGACTTTATCAAACCTATGTGAATTATATATAAACAAAATTGAAGACAACGAGGAAAATTTGTTAAAATATATAAATATGGTGTTTGACAATCCAAAACATATGTTCCAACTCCACAGTCATTTTCAAATGCAATTGTCATATGCTTGTTAACAATATATAGTTCTTTTCACACTCAAACTTCTAAATTTGACCAAACTACGTGTTCATTTTCAAACATTTTAAGTTTTGTAGATCGTAGTTAGAAAAATACGTGTGTAAAAAACTTTACTTTCAAATTTTTAGTAAGCAATTTTGTAATGTATACCTTCGCACGTGTAAAGCCAGGTAGGAAGTCTACACAAATGAGAAATCATTGCCTAAACGTTTTCGAGATGTCCCTAATAACCAACGAATGATAAGTGACTTTGAGTGCCGAATTAAAGGGGCTTATTAGACACATATGTATACCTTTGTCATGATTCATGGTTGAAGACTTGCCGAACTCCATTTTGTAATGTTGCACTCTTTGCTTTATTCCCAAGAAAACAAAACATACTATATCTATGTAGTGCAACATACCAAGATAACATGAAAACTTCCACCTAAAACAAGGAAATGTTGTGCTTTCTCCTTTTATAATTGAAGATTTTGATTGGTTTCCCGAAATGGAATGACAAAACTAAGAAATGGAATTGATAAAAGTAACAACGTAATTTTAAGGTCGAAAAGTAATAGAAAAATCAATCAAATCAGAAATCCTTTAATTGTTTAATTAAGTTGTCAAAGTTTAATTATTTAACTTAACATTAAGGGTGGGAAATTTTGCCATAAATTGATTTACCGACCGAACTATACCGGTTGGCTC